ATAAATTTCAGGACTAAGATTTCAGAATGGTAAGTTTCCCCTCCCTGGGAGAGTAGAGCTGACTTTCACTTATCTCTGGGCCATATTAAAAAAAAACAACAAACAAAAACCAGTCTAGATTTAATTCTGAAACTCTTAAAAAATATAGATAAAAGTTTAGTCCAAGTTTACCTGCCTTTCAACCCTTAAGCAAAACTAGAGATTAACTCTTCTTACTTCCCTCACCCTTCAAAAATGACACTGTTCCCGGCCCAGAGGTAGGGGCTTCTGAGCGTCGTCCCACTGCTCCTGGGACACTGACTGGTTTTTAATAACAAAGGATAGGCTGATTTTTATAACACAGATCAGTTTGTTGATAGAACGAGACATTCTTAAGGAACTTTATGAGTTTAACGGAAGTTTTAAACAAAAACAGATATTAAAGATTAGACACAGCCTCAGTCCCCAGAGGACTGGCTCTCTCCCTCTTTTTTTTGGTACCAGGGATCCAACTGGGGTCCTTGCGCTTGCGCAGCAGGCGGCGAAACCACTGAGCTAAATCCCAGCCCAGGGACTGGCTCTCTTATCACGATTTCTCTCTAGGACATCTTGCCAGGCCCTCTACTACTATCAGAGATATGTTAACCAAGGCAAAAAAAAGAAAAAAAGGACCTATAGCTAAGTATGGTACAAAGGTTACAGACAAAATAAGAAAAACTGTCATCTGCAGTTTAGACATCTGCAACAGGACAGATTAAAAACCTGTTTCAATTACATAGCTCTCTAATGGGTGCCACCTAGTCTCTTTCTATACCCAGAGCTGGCTTACACACCCACCTCTAAAAATAGTTAAAATTACCTTTTAACAGTCTGCCCCTCTAGAGGCAACAATTACATGTGGCTATCAAAACAGCACTTTTGGCTATCAGCAGTAACTATCCAACAACTATGGTTATCAAAGGCAACAATGAGGACCCTATATAGCTAGATATTCCTATCAGAAAAACCTTCACCCCAGGGTCCATCTTAAAAACTGTCTTTCCTTTCACAAGTGTAAAAGGTTTTTTTCCTTCTGATTCTTATTATAAGAGCTCTCCAAAGTAATGCCTGTGAAGACTTAACTGACCTTGGTAGATAGCAAGAGATTAATTTTGATCAACATGGGTCTCACTTTAACTTGTGAGTACTTAAACACCCAGTAGAAAAGTATAACTAAAGATATTTAATCAAGACCATAGTAATAAAGCTAGATATAAAAAGGGGCTCCAATTGCTGACCCCTTTTGGCAGTTTCCCACTACACCAGCAGCTGACCACTGTTATGGGTCATTAAACCTCTAACGTCTTACAGCTAAAACTACAGAGACTTATAACAAAATATCAGACTTATAAACTCCATCAACAAAGGGGTCTAAGAGCCAGTGGGTTACAATCACTATTTCAGAACAGTTTCTAAATGTGGCTCTTTCCCCAACCTGCCTTTTCATTCCAGTGTTCATGCTTTGATTGCACACGGTCTAACTTCTTGAAAAATTAGTTTATTCTTGCTTAAAGGCTGCCAAACTCCAAGCAATCATAGAGACGGAACCAATGACAAATGTGCTAGACACCTTTTACTGAGATCCACCAGGTCAACCTTATGGAGGAAGTTCATAACTGCTAACGTGACTTCTGAGGCCAATTAGATTAGCTCTCCAGACAGAAGCCCTGACTACAATCTCCCTACATTAACCCTTCTCAGCTCAAAGGAGTTAGATAGAAACTACACCCCTTCTCCCCTAACAAGAGTTAGGTATACTTCTTCAGAGGGGGTAGTATTTTAGACAGCTAAGCTAGTTAGAAAATATTATAAAAGCAGGCAGGGCTGGATCCTCAGCATTGAGACACATTTACTAAAAGGTCAGGATTCAAAAGAGAACTACTACAGCCATATACTTCCCCTACGGATGAAGAGCAGTGATTGATATTCTAAATAGGTGTCAATCACCCTGGGTGGGGACCAAAACCTCCTTACCCCATTCCCTCCAGGGAAATTCTTGTTAGGTCCATGCTTGTGTGACTAGCTTCCCCATTTGATCCTCATTTAATCAAAACTACCTAAATAGCTATACTTGTTATAATCTTATTAGTTGATCATAGTTTTGTCCCACCTCATGATTTCCCATTGGATCAATATTACCTAAGCAACTATACTTGTAATCTCACTAGTTGACTACAGTTTTGTCCCACCTTGAACCCACCTCACCTAGTGGCTTTGCTCAATAAAACACTTTTGAGAATTGAGGTGGGTGGGCAACCCACTTTGCAGTTCTTCTTCTGTCTCTTTTAGACAGAGGCTATCTTTCTCTCAATAAATTCTTCCTATTCTTAACATCAGCTGTTCTTAGAATTCATTCTTTGATTTTAGAGAACACAAACTCAGGGTTTTTGGATATCGAGCAGGTTGGGAGTTACTGAATTTGCCTTATTTGGATTATTTTGCTTATTTGGCTTACTTTTTGCCCTGTATTTCTGTATGAAGTAGCAGATTGAGAGAATGGCCCAATGGAGTACTATCAGCATGCTCATGTTCAGATGGGAATGATACAGGATGGACAGAGGGAAGTGTGACAGTGGAGACAGGGGTGTATTCTCAAAGAAGAGGGAGGTCATGAATATGATGAAGTGGAAGTGTCCATCCTGACCAGGGGTGTGGAGATGGGTTGATGGCAAATGTGCAACACAGAGCCTGGGGATGCTGTGAAGGGAGTCAGCAGAAGTTGTCCCCGTGTACTTTTTTCCACGTGCCCTGTTCTCTCTGTATCTTTATGAGGCAGAACTTATTTTTCCTGTAACCCACCTGGAAGGGAAGTCTCACCAGCTACTACCACACCTTATCTGCTGTGGTACCATGACACCAAGCATACCTGCTGGTTATTATTAACATAACTGAACCAGTTACAAGTCTTAGGATCACTTTGGTTTTGAGTTATTTCCATATTTTATGCTGTTGTACCAAGATGATACACCTGGCAAGTAATTTCAAGGTTTTAAAATCTAGCACAATAGATTAAAACTTTGAAGGTTAAAACTTCATCCTTCCAAGTTTTCCTATTTTTATTGACATAATTTTAATGATTTTGTTAAAAGGTATGCCAGACTCATGTGTCTGAAAATAATTTTAAAATAATAATTTTAAAAGATCCTCCTTTAACAAGATCAAACAATAATTCCTAGTAGTTCTATTTGAACTTAAATACTTTCCATAAAATACATGTTAAATATTTACATTTGATATTTTGTGATTGTTTTTAGCCAAAAAGACTTGAGTTTAGGGGAAAATGTAGTTCGAGAAATGATTTAGAAAGTTGGTATGTTATCAACAAATTCTTTTCATTTATTTTTAAAATTTTCATTTTTTTGAATAAAATTTCAACTTTATTATATTTTTAAGTATAACTTATAAAGTTCATAAGCTTACTAGCTATCCTCTGGTAAAGAGACAATCAAATTGCTTCTTAAAAAGAATTAAACAGAGAGAATGCTGGAAGATCCATTAAAGGGATTTAATAGAATAGAAAATTGTTTAGACAAACTTATATGAAAAAAAGAACACACTTCATCTAGATCTTTTGGGGAACTGATAAGATAATATCTATTAGGCTAAATTTTGCTTCAGCTAGAAATAAAGGTGATTTTTTACAGTATTGTACATTGAATCCATGCTAGGCAAGCACTCTATCACTGAGCTATATCCCTCCCCCAATCCCTTTTTATTTTATTTTAAAACAAAGTTTTGGCAAATTGTCCAGGCTGGCCTCAAACTTCTAATCTTTCTGCCTCAGTTTCCTAAGTAGCAGGAATTACAGGCATGTGCCCCTGCACCTATCCTAAACATTATTTTAAAACCAACCAAGATCAGTAGTATTTTTGAGTCTTTTTCTTTTTCCTTCTGGAAAGCACCTTGCAAGATTTCTGCTTATACTGTATACTTGGTCTCAAAGAGTATAAAAAGGACAGGATGACTCTCACGAGTACTGGGCTGTAGTTTGAATGTGACCTAGAAAGAAGTATAATTGATTTCTCTCAGAAGAGATAGCCCGTTCCTCTGCACAGCCAAATACGGCCTAAAGTACAATCTCAGTTCACTGAAGGGGGAGATGGGTATGGATGGTGCTAGTAGGCATCATAGCACCAATGTGGTCACAGGGGCATCCTTGAGGCTTGGGTTATCTAGACACGGGGTCAATACCCTTTGGGGCCCAGGGGTTCCCTGTCACTCAGTATCTGGCTGAGCTTTCAAGTAAGGAGATTTGGCTATGGTAGCTGAATGGTTGAGGAAGTCTCCAAATCTTGTAATTCTGAGATTTTCAAAGCTTTGGGTATAACCAACTCTGGCATATAAGGCCACAAACCTGTTTCCTTATGCTAGAGGACACCAAAAAGCATTTTTGTCTTAATTGTATTTAATAGTCTGGGTTCTAAAATCAGCAGATATGTCTTTATTATACAGGGCACATGAGCAACAAGAAAAATTCATTATTTATATCCTCTCAAAACATTTACACTTTAATTGGGAATAAAGACTACAAAAATTAGTGTTTCCTTGAGGGATATTTTGATGAAGTTGAAATTTCTGTATTTCCATTTCTTAAAATACAGACTATGCTAAAGTCTTTGTAAATAGGGAGGGGTGGAGGGGTTGGAGGGAGGGCAGGGGAATGGGGAAGAAATAAGAACCAAGATATGTTACATAAAGGTACAAATTCCCAATGATGAATATTATCATATTGTATGCCTAAAATGTACTAATAAACTTAATGAATAAAAAAAGAAATGATAAATGTTTGAGGAGACAAATATGATTAACCTGACAATGCTAAATGCTTGAGTACTTAAAAAAAATGTGTTTCTACTAATTTAATAAACCCAAATTAGTCCTGGAATACCATGTCACAAGTCCATGTTGTACATGTGGTCAAGAGGCAGAGTATTCTATCCACAGAGGCTGCACGACACAGGGAGCAAGGCTTGTACACCCACCTCGAGGTCAGTGAAGAGGCCATCATTGTTCTGCAGGATGGCGTACATACAGTGTGCCACTGTGACCGCATGCTTCCAGTTGTGGTATGGCACTCGCCGGTAGTTCTTCTTCACAGACATAATGAAACGGCACAACTTTTCAAGGTCAAAGCTGTGTGGAGAAGAAACCATTATGGCCAAGGCCAGCACAGCGTGACTCCACCCAGGAGGGCCTTCAAGCTGAGGTACACATCCACCTGCTCCCTCATCACCCCCAGGTACCAAGATCCCCAGATGGAACTCAGAAGCCCTGCACACTCATTTGCCACTTCCCTCCTCCTTCTCCAGCCAGAAAGAACTAATAAAATGGAGAGTCTTTAATAGTTTCTATTCTGACATATTAACTATTTCACCAGAGATACATACCAGAATCAGCAAGCTGTCACCCATCATTTCCTCATATTTGTAAGCATTTCTTCCTATGCCCCACAGTGCTCAAAAGACACAATTCAATATCATCCTGCTCAGGGGTATTTAGAACTAATTTTTCCAAAAAGCATATTCAGATTATATATATATGTAATTATTAATATGATAATTATTTTCCTATATACGAATGATACTTTTCTAAATTTCTAACTATCCTTTCAAAGTGAATTTAAGGTATTTTAAGGTATTCTCACATTATTAAGTTGGAAATGGCCTTATCCAAATACTGATACAATATATGAAAAAAATATATATATATTTTTATAAATACTGTCATTTTTTATTTTACGCATGTGGAGAATAGTATATCATGTATATATTCTTATTTGAAGTTCTACCTTCTCTCAAAATATATTTAAGCAGTTTAAAACAAAAGAGCATCAGTATATTACTCTGTGGAATACTAAGAAGATGGAGAGTTCACAAAACATTTTTAAAATACACAGCCTGTGTTTTTGTCCATTGAAAAGTTTCCAATGTCCTTGAAGTAAAAAGTACAGCATTTTAAGAATTCTGGCTGGTCACACTCTCAACTTATATCTAACACAGAAGTGGAGTTAGTTATCCTGTGTGCACCCTCTCCAAAAGCTGATTTATCAAAAAGCACAGGTAGAAGTAAGAAAAGAAACAGATATTGAAAGATGTGACAAAGTGACAAGGTAGTTCAAGAGAAACTAAGTGATTCTGTAGGAACTTAATTTCTAAATCAGTGAGGGGGATCATTCCTTTTATTTTAAGTTTGTGCATTTAAGCTGCAAAAGATCAGATTTTAAGTCACAAACACCTCCCTCTAGGGACAGGCCAAGGTGAGTGAACAAATATTTGCACTGAATGATGCTATAATTATTGACAAAGCATCATGCTGTAATTAGAAGACCTTTTTTTTTTTTTTACCTAATAGATATATAAGTAGAAACTCGATGCTAAATTTATGTGCTGTGTGCTAGCCACACTTTTTCAAGCATGTAATTCTGTTCAGTATATTAAGTTCTGCCTCCTTCAGTCACACAGCTTGTATCTGTTTCCATGACAGACTCCGAGGTTACAATCAGCTGCCAGGGGACTCAGCAGTCTAAGGGAAAGTGGAAAAGGCCTCAGATCTGTTCAATAATCTCAGCCCATTTTTATTTGAATATTCAGAAAAAAATGCGTACATGCCATTTTAAGATAATTTTTTAAAAAGTGGTGTGGTGTATAAATAGCAGGAGGAAGAGGTCATACCACTCGATAATTTATAAAGAAATTTTTTAGGTTATTCTTACCAGGATGTCCCACAGGACTGATGAACCATATAGACAAAAATTCCAGGCCACATATTTTCAAAAGGACCAATGTCAAAGTGGAATCTGAAATGAAAAGTCAGTTTATTATTAAACTGCAATTAATTTATTATAAAATGCAATTAGGAAAAACATAGTAAGTAAAGAAAATTATTTAACTTTTTGTCTATAAAGAGGCTAAGATGACACTGGGCTCTCTCCCATCTTTAGTTACATCTATCTGGTACAGAAAAGTTTTCAGGAGATTGTACATATTTCCTCAAGAACTTAGTAAGTCATTATTTAATTTGGTATTACACAATCTGTTAAAAAAAAGATGCTGCAGTTATTAGAATAGTAAATAAGCACAAAAATTCTATCTGAACTTTATCTTAAATATTCCACAACTCACAGATAAGGGGAAGAGCCAATCAAAGGTTATTTTTTAAAGTTGAAATTGTTTTATCTTCCATTTAAATTGAAATATATATACCTAATCTCATAAATACATATACCTAAAATTATTATATTAATACTTATTATTCATTTAGTAATATAGCTACAAAAATTTGTTTGGAATAAACAATATGATAAAGTACTATATTTTGAATTGTAAGGTATATATTGGATGAGTCATTTCTGAAGATTTCCTATGTAGATAACTAGTGTTAATTTGCACTCACCATAAGTACACAAATTATCACAGATCCTAGCACTAGTGACTTAAATATTAGCAGGTATAGAAAACAAAGTGTAAAAGCCGAAATATTACTAAATTCTTGAATTTAATTTGGAAATTTAAATTTATACAGATATATTTAATTATCTGATATTAAATGGCATCTTGAATATTAAATATTACACAAGGTAATAAAAATGTTAACATTGAAGTTAAATTAACTCATTTCAAAATAAAGTTCAAATTTCATTTTTTAATCAGAAGAAAATGACAACCTACAAAACTATGCATATAATATGGATAATTATAAACAAAATGGTGAGGCATATAGATAGTAGTGATAATCATAATACTTGTGATTTTAAGCTCTATAACCTTTTTTGACTTAATTCAGTGAAATTAAAATTCTGTTGCTGAAGAAACTGACAAAAGCCATTGAGATTTATTTGGCTTTACCACTGATTGTACCGTATGGAGAAAAAGGCCTCCCCTCAGGTTTAACATCATGCCTGGCTCAGTAAATATTCACCAAAAGAAAAACACACAAGCCTTATTTTCCCAGTGCCAAAACGTTCAGTAAATGCTTCTTGAAGTGGACTATGTTAAAGTGAGAAACGTGTTGCTTCAATAACAATATCCCACAGCTTCTTTGGTGGAGCAGGAAAGCATAGTTTAGGAGCAGCTCTGGAAGCCAACTCTGAAGTCACACCCACTAGGGGTTCCCACCCAAACCCTGTCATCTGCTAAATGTGTGATCTACCGACCCATAAACACATTATTATCTTTCTCTATTTCTCAGTGTTATTATCTATATGTAAGGGATAGTAATCATATCCCTCTCCATTTGTCACGAAGATTCAAGGGCCTGGAACATGTGGAACAGAGACTGCATGTGGGACACACTTATTAAATGATTGTCATGACACAATTATTAGTCATTCTCTAGAACTAAGGTATAAAGAAAACTTTGCTCACTGTGGTAAGAGGCCACACTTAGCTGGGCTTTTATCAGAAGCCAGTCAATAATGTGGCTACTAATTTGCTTTGTCTAGGTTTAAGCTGGCTGAGGTTCCTTGCAACTTAAATATAAATTCAACTTTGACTATAAGGTTTTTTTTTAAATACTAAAAAAATTCAAGAAACTGACAAAGCAAAGGACTCACAGTTCGATTTCTTTGCAGAGTCGTACAGGGAGTGTGAAATGCATGAGTCCTTGCCACTCTTCCGCGGTGCAAATGCTATGATAGGACAGCTTTTCCATAGTTACCCGATAAATGTACTCTGAGTGCCGAATTCTATGATACATCTGGAAAGTAAATAAAAAATTAATTGAAATAATGCTTAAAATAATTTGTCATTAAAATTCAGTATTTACCATAATGGAATCAGAGCTATCACTGAAACTAAGGTAGACTTATCACTGTTCATATTTCCACAGACACTGAAGCTATGGACACTTGAGACCTTGAAGATGCAAAAGATTTTTTTTAAATTGTTGTTTAAGAAGTCTTACTCAATTCTGTAAAAAAAACTTTTTTTTTTTTTTGGTACCGGGGATCGAGCTCAGGTCTTTGCGCTTGCGCAGCAGGCGGCGAAACCACTGAGCTAAATCCCCGGCCCTAAAAATAGCTTTTTACCAGACATCATCTCTAGGTAGTAAAATTACTACTTGTCCTCTTTACAATGTTTTGCATTGTATTGTTAAATTTTTAGTAAGAAAAATACTGAAAATAAAGCATGTTCATTTTATTAGCAGAAAATAAATATTAATGATTTTAAAGAATATAAGACCTAAGATGCTTCTAAATCTGTTAAAAAATAATAATAATTACATGATGCTTTATATAAAGCTCAACTGCCTTGGGGAGATTTCATTTCTTTTCCCTTTGACGATTTACTTGTTTATTTTTTAAATAAAATTTTTAAAATTCATTTTGTTAAAATGAATCAGTTTGGGATTTCATTGGTGTTATAGCAATGACTGCAAATGTATAACACAAATTTGTATATACCAGTCACAGATTGTACCCATAAAGTTGAGATATGAATATGTGACTACAATAATGTAAAATGGATACGCACATTTCACTGTCTTATCAAATTAAGTTCTTGCATATTTATGCAAATGTAATTTTACAAATAATTATAATTAATAGATGAGGGAACAGACTAGAAGTAAAGCAAATGGAAAGGATCTGTATATGTACATGTGAATTTATAAGTAGGTGAAATTAATTAGGAGGGGTGACTTAAAGGAAAAAGCAAATGAGTCCTCAACAGCAAACTACTGGTGAAAATGTGTGATATTATGGCAAGTCTGAGTAGGTTTCTTAACAGTTTGTATTTTCCCTAACATCTAGTGTAGTATAGCTGTCAGGAGATAATACTATACACATAGCCTATATAATAATATAAATGGAGCTATATGGATCAATAATTAGGATATTTTCTTTATGTCACCCTATAAAAATATTTAGCTTCTTGGTGATCACAAATTTCTCTAGTCCAGCATGGTCTCTAAAATGTTTGAATATAAAACCCTTCATCATTAAAAGACTTTTGAAGAGACACTCTCAATGACTGTACATTCCTTAATAATTATATGCATGTGTACTGTGCTAATATATTATTTGTATTATAAAATGTAAACAAAAATTAAAATTAAAAACATTAAAATGTATGTACTTTAAAATATTTTATTCACTGAACAAGGCCTGTTTTGTTCTCATTAAACAACTTTTTTTAATGAAAGCATTGTAATTAAATGTGTTATTGATTGTCAAATTATTTCTTTAATAGTTTGTGGGATAGTGATTTAAGGTCTGGCCTAACAATTTATTTCAATACTTAGATTTTCAGTTTTATTATTTGAGAAACATATAACCCAAAGAGGATCCAAATTGAATAAAGGTAGGATTAGTTGCCCGCAAGCATCACACTTATATTTTTATATCCTAACCATAACTAACATGTTGGTTGAAGTTCAGTTATATTTCCATTTTCCCTCTTGTCAATCAATTGATCCTACAAAATAATCAAATGCGTTATTATATATTATTTAAACAGATTCAAAACGAACATAACTCTAAGAAAATTATTCATAGGGAAGAGTTTTTACTCAGTTAAACCTGTTTCGTAAAACAAGTCCTGAAAGATTCAATTTTACAGGTAAGAAAGGAAAATAATGAACAAATAGAAAACCAATAGCTCACAGATTTGCACCTATACTTGAAAAGTGAATGGTCTAAACATCAAGATTAAAGGGCAGCCAGGCATATAAGGCACATGCGTGATATCCCAGCACTTCGGAGGCTGGGGCAGGAGGATTGCCGTAAGTTCGAGGCTGGCTGAGCTAACAGTGACTTTAAGACCAGCCTGAACTACAAAGAGAGACCCTGTCTCAAAAAACAAACAATCAATCAAACAAACAAACAAAAAACCCAAGCAAACAACAACAAAAAAACCCCGAAAGCAGATTAAAGGGCAAAGATCATTAGATTAAATCAAAAAGGATGACCCAACTATTTGCTGCTTACAAGAATCTTACTTTAAATACAAAAACACAATTACAGTAAAAGTAAAAAGATGGAAAAAATATATCATTTAATGCTAGTCAAAAGAAAGAGTAGGTTTATTAATATAGGCAGAAGGGATTTTATAGCAAAGATATTATCAGAGATCAAGAAGTTTGTTTCAAATGATAAAGAAGTCATTGAAAGGACATAGCAATTCTAAATGTCATGCATGCAATAAACCTGTGACGTAAGTAATGACAGACAAATGGCAGGCAAAACAGATAAACAGACTAATGTACAATCACATTTGGAGATTTCAGCACCACCCATGGAACTGACCTATTGACATACCAGCCAGCCAAAATGCTAGTATGCTTTTCTACAGGAAATGGAAAGGTGATTCTAATTTATATGGCAATACAAAGGACCTAGAACAGCAAAACGTCTGAAAAACCCGAATGAAAGTTGAGGAATTATCCTACCTGAGTGGAGGGCTTATTATAAGGCTGGAATAATTAAAACAGGTGGCAGTGGCATTAAGGGCATAGACAGGTCAATGGAACAGAATACAGGTTATATAAATGGACTCACACATGTATACTCAGTTGACTTGCAGCAAAAGCACAAGACCAGCACAGCTGAGAAAAGATAGTCTATTCCACAAGTAATGGTGGAGCAACTGAATATTAAAATACAAACAAATGAATTTTGATGCTTACATTGCACCATATACAAGTATTTAATCTAAGTGAATACAGTCTTAAGTATAAAACCTAGAACTATAAAAGTTTTAGAAGAAAATACTAGAGAAAGCCTTTGAGGGCTTTGGTTAGGCAAATATTTCTTCAGTACCATGATGGCAACATGATAATAATTTTTAAAATTTTATCTATTAGACTTGTACAGAATTAAAAAACTTTTGCTCTTGGAAAGAAACTATGAAGAGAATGTAAATACAGGTCAAAGACTGGGAGCAAATATTTGCAAATAACCTATTTGATAAATGATTGCATCTATAATTGTATAAAAGATTATCAAAATTCAATAATATGAAAACAATCACAAAAAGGGCAAAACATGCAAGAAGAGACTTCACCAAAGCTGACATACAGATAGCAGATGTATAGGAACTGGTATGCATACAATGATTTGGGTTATGTAAAAGATCTCAATCTCTTAGGAGAATGCTTTGGCAGTTTCTTAAACAGTTGATCCTATTCCTCCAATATGGCCCTCCACTGTGCATATAAGCCTTTACCCAAGGGAAAAGAAAGTCTGCAAACACACACAGGCATGCGCGCGCCTGCTCACACATTCACAGAGATTTGTACAAATCTATTTATTTCAGCTTTTCATAATAGCCCAAAACAGTAAATCACACAAATATTACTCCATAAGTGAAAAAATAATTTATAGTTCATCCATACAACAGAATACTACACAGTAATAAAAAGGAATTAAATGTTTAAACATGTAGCATCATTGATAAATGTCAAAGCAGTTAATCTTAGTGAAAAAAGCCAGAAGAAAATAATATAGATTGTATGATTCCATTTATAGAAAAGAATTCTAGAAATACAAAGTAATTTAAAGTGATAGACACAGATCAACGGTTACTTGAAGATGGAGAAGGTAAGAGGGAGGAATTCCAAAGTGTTACAGAAACATCTGGAGGTGATGGATAAATTCATTATATTGAATATGGTAATGATTTCATGGGTGTGAATGTACATCAAGTTGTATGCTTTAAATATGTGCAATTTATTGTGTATCAATAAACCTCAGTAAAACTACTCAAAACTTTTCTGGTCTCAGTGTTTTTATAGGGACAGTTATGATAATCTGTGTACATGACACACAAATTTCAGCAAAAAAGACATATGACAATGAAAATACTTAAATATCTGCAAATACCTACTTTCAAAGTTCTTTCTTCATAGCAAGCTTTCTTCAGAAAAACAATTATTTTCTAACTTAGTGTTAATGTCACTAGACTTTTAAGAGTTCAAAAAATGTTTATTTCTTTGACTATATCTTCTAAATAACAAAATATAAACTGCTATTTGTCAATAGGAATGGGAAACAGATTTTAAGTATTTGTCCCTTTATGAGAGAAGCATGTATAAGTAATCTACAAATTCAATTTATGTTCCAAGTACTTTCCACAAATTGCAAATACATGGGTAGCATAAATGGAAATGCACTCACTTCTCAAATCCATCTTTATAACTGTGAATTCTTTTGGCCAACTATAAAATAAGCTCTCCCCTAGAAAAGTTGAGGAAAATGTGCTTGGATGAGATTTACAAACACTGGCTGGACACATCTGCCACCTTTGCTCAGATGCACAACATCACCTTTTCATGGGAAACTCTGAATCCTGGACAAGAAAGGCCTGCCTAATGCATAAGATTTCTAGCTCCATCCATTTGCTAACAATCAAGAAAATGAAGTTTCTTTAATATCATTTGCTTAAAAAACATATCAAGATGTAAGTTTTCAAATTTTTCTTCTGTACTTAAGTGAAATATTACTCGCTTTTTAAGATGCTGTAGATTTTGTTAGGAAGGTGAACAATCAAGAGCATTTATTCACTATTTACCATAACTGAATACTGCCTGTAATTCAGTGTAATTTGATGGCAAAGCTGCTAGTAAAAGTAATGATAAAAAATAACATTTTTACAACAATCAATACTGCTAAGCACTTATGTGGCAAGCAGTGCACTAAGTGCTCTGCATGGATAATTTCATGTAATTCTCAAAAATCCTGTGAGGTAGTTATTCCTCTT